ATTTGTTGTGGCTCAGGGTTTCAGAGGTTTCAGTCTGTGGTCTTTTGGCTCTGATGCTTCTGAGCCTGTAGTGAGGCAGAACATCATTACAGGGAATGTTTGTGTATTGGTTTCTTTTCTCTTGTTTCTGAGACAAAATACCCCATGCCCAAAACGAAGGAAGGAAAGGTTTATTTTGCTCACAGTTTCTGTAGGCTTCGATCAGTTGGTTTCAAGGCAGAGTGGTGTGTTACAGGGGCAATCACTCATGGCAACAAAAAACAACAAAAGCAACAAGGGCAAAAGGGGAGGAACACAAGAGAATTCTGTCCCTTGTATTGTATATAGGGTACCCACCCTAGGGTGTGTGTAGCAGCTACACCCATAATCCTAGCATTGGACCATCAGTCAGTCACAAACTCCACAAGTCTGCTTCCATGACTGCATGAGGCTTTGGGGGACATCTAAACACAATCCATAACAGTGTGGTAGGGCCAACTATCTCACCTCATGGCAGAGATCTTTCCTGAAGCTCAGAAATTGTTCTGCTTGAACTAGTGTGCTATTGAGGCTCTCACATGTACTACACAGTATTTCTTACTTTGCCTACTGAATTATTTAACCACAGGATTTCTGTTTGGAGGTTCTCTCAGTGATTTGTCTTCACAATTTTGTTAAATTATCTCTCAGCATACTCTTCTTAAATTAAACATTTTTTTTATTTTTTTATTTTTTTGTGGTACTGGGGATTGAACCCAGAATCTTGCATATGCCTAGCATTGAGCTACTTCCCCAGCTATCTTCATTATTCTCATAGCCATTAAGTTTTCTTAAATTTTTACTTTAAAGAACTTTTTCAGGAAATTTGTTGATTTCCTTTTGTCTGTGAACTATTGATAGAGAGCTATTATGTCTTTTTGGAGGCATCTTATTACCTTGTTTTTTTCATGCCTCATGTTTGGTATTTGTGTATCTGAAGGCTTAATTGTTTCTACCAATTTTATAGGGTAACTTTTGTAGTAAAAGATTTTCTCCTGGTGTTAAGTCCTAGGGTATTGATTAGATAGGTTGCATTAGCTTTGGTTCCAAGTTGGCACTTCAGTGCATGTAACTTCTTTACCTGTAATTGGTAGTGATATCTTTGTGCTCTGGGCTATGGGGATTGTATAGCTAAACTTAAGTTCTCTTACATGGGATGAGTTTATTGGTAACTCTAGAGGCAATGAACTCTGTGTGTGGGATACCTGTCAGTTTCTATGGGTCATGTGAAAATGGGACTACTCTGATGGACCTTTGCTTACAGGGTGTACTGTGTGGCTACAAAAGCATAGCTCTCGCCAGTTTCCAAAGGATGCTTTGGCTCTGGGCTACACAATACTGGTATATTATAGCATGCTCAGTAAAGGAGCAGAGTGTCTGTGAGGGTAAGAGCTACACTAAGGTTGGGCTGTGCTTGATCAGTTGGCCCAGATGGGGAACTTGTGTGTGTTGAAGGTCTACATGAGTAACATTGCTAGGCCTCTGGGGCTCACTGCTCAGGGCATGCTGCCTGTTGTCTTCTCTGAGCCTCACTGGGCTGAACCATCTGAGAATAGACAGAACCATATTAACTTCTTCCAGCAACTGAGCCATTTAGTGCTAGTTGTCAGGCTACTTTCCTGGGATTTGGGTTGGTAGGGGATGCCTGGCTGCTTTCAGAGGTAGGTTGGCTGAGCAGCGCATATAGGTGTTCAGCTTCTTCACAGGACTCCAGGTATAGTCTCAAGATGGCACTATGCAACAGGGAGCCTTGGTAGGGGACAGCATAACATGAACTGAGCTCTTTTTCTGGTGTAGTAACCTCGTAGTTCCCTATATTGAGCTCCGGACTTGTGAGGGCTACAGACTTGTCCAGCAGTAAATGCCTCAGGTGTCCATGGTATGAGTGGAGACTTCTGGGAATCTCCTGTTTACTCTTTTCCCACAGAGCTGACCTTGAGCTCACTGTATCCCAGGCTGGCCTTAAATTTGTGGTGATCCTCCTGCCTCGGCCTCCTGGCAGTTGTACCACTATGCCCACCTGGTCTTAGATCCCTTCTTGATAAGGGCATCATCTATCGCCAAGTTCCATGGTGTTTCTCTGCCACATCCCCACTGCACTCTACTGCTGTGCCTCACACATGCCAGCGAAGTAACTTTTTGTTTTGGCCTTCTGTTGTAGAGAAGAGCATGCCAGACAGCTCTAGGCAGCCATCTTGTTGGATACAGTGATTAGTTTCTTCTTTTGACCCTACTGTTAACCTTACTAATGACACTAACCATGCCTGGATTTTGAAGGGCTTCCTGCAGTCTTCTCATTGTCTCCATTCATCTTGCCTGTTCCTACTTCTCTTGATGATGACAGTTTGGTTGTCTGCTTACAGCCACACCTGCCAGGAGTTATCTATTGGTACACTAAAGCAAATTTGCAATTTGAAATTTAGATGTTTAGTTTGGCCTTCTTACTGTTCTAAAAATAAGAACATTTCACATAAAATCTGGATTCCTGTTTTTCTTCATGTTGAACTCCTATGCGGCAGTTGTGGGCCAGCTGAGTCGCAGCTGCTGTTTTAGTCAAGGCAGGAGGACTGCAGTTTTCGGACTCACAACTCCCTGTTTACACCTGCCCCTTCACTCACTCACATCCATTCTTGCTTGGCCTCTGGAGGCAGTTAGTTGACATACTTTTGAGGTAATTTTTAAAAATATTCTCTTAGTTCTGTGATTTAATATATCTGACAGGAACTGACTACCATGGCTGTGGAATATAAGTCTGGATACAAAGCAGACAACGTAGACTTTCTTCTACGTCTTGGGCTAGGCCTACCTTCAGGAATCTCAAGTACTTTGGGCCCAAGAGACACACCTGCTTGTCTGTGTGGCAAGTCATTCATTCATTCATTGATTCACTCATATATTCAGCAGTTATAAAGTAGGCCCCAAGTGATTAAAGAGACCAGCGCAATACCTGCCCTGAGGAAACTTAGTTATTGGAACTCCTTGATGTTTATGTCCTCCTGACAGTCTGGTTTTTTTCAGACTTACAAGCATAACTGCTCTTTTATTTCTACTTTTCTTTTGAACTCAATTTTGTACAAACTTCAAGGTAAGGAGATAAGAGAAGTTTGAGGGCCAGGCTGCACACCACCACTCCAACTGGACCTGATGAAACCATATAGTATAGTCACGATTGGATGTAGATTAGTGTAGCTTAATCTGACCTAGAGCCTGTGTAACCCAGGACCAGTGCCTTACATATATAGTACCTCATCTAATATATGAACTAGACATTATTATTCTTTATACTTTACAAACATAGAAATCAAGGCTTACAAAATCAAGTAACTTTCCCAGAATCACAAGAAATTAGAATTCGAACTTCGTATAACTCCTGTACTGGAGTTGGTGCCCTCAGTACTTGTGAGTTGATTTGAGAGCTTTTTTTTTTACTCAAAATATTTTCTTTACTGCTCTTTAACACAGCATGAAATTCTGTCATTTAAATTGTATGCTTAAGATGGGTGTGGTGGTTCATGCCTGTAATACCAACCCTCAGGAGGCTGAGTTAGGACGATCGTTGAAAGTTTGAGACCAGCCTGGGGTATGAAGTGAGCTTAAGGCCAGTGTGAACTGCTAGCAAGACCCTGTCTCAGAAACAAAAAAACAACAAAAAGTATGCTTTTATTTCTTGTTAAAATGCACAATTCCTTGGAAAAGGTCTAAATTGTCACTACCAACATTTTAACACCTTAACCTTTTTTTTGTTAGCTAATTAATGAACAGATATTGAGGAATCCAAGGAGGTAGGAGTTCTGATCTGGAGTTAGGGTTAGAATTGTGAGAAAAAAATGAGAGCACAGACTTAGGCTCCTAAGAGGATTTTAAGAAATACACTTCTTAGGCATGGTGGTGCATGCGTATAATCTCAGTACTATGGAGACCAAGGCAGGAAGATCAAAAGTTTGAGACCATCCTGAGTGATTTAACTACAAAAAACACAAACAAAAACCACCCCAACCAAAAAACTTCTTTTTGGGGGAGGAATTGAGGTTGGGGAGCAGGTGGAGGGAGAGGGAGAGAATAGAGAGAGGGAGAAAGGAAGAGAGGGAGAGAGGAAAGGAGGGAGGAAGGGAGAGATAGAGATAGAAAGGTGTTTATGAAGAGAAGGGAGGAGTGCTCAAACAGCCTTTCCCCTTGCTACTGTGGGTTCCTCTCCAAAATATAATTTCCTGGTGCTTTGGAACCCTCTACTTTCATTTTACTAAGGCCTTACTGCGTTTATGCAAGAACAGGTTAAAAAATGGAATAGGAAAGATGGGAGGCCGGGGAGGAGCAAAATGAATAATACTTTGTATTTATCTGCATCTCTGTCTTCTGAGCAGAGTGCTCAGTGGGCTCTATCTCTTAACCTTCTGTGTGCTCCATGGAGGAAGGAAACAGGCTTTAGGGAGCAATTTTCATTGTGGACGTCTTCCTCCCTCAGCCTAACTAGACTCTCACCGTCCCACTTGCAGCCCATTCTCTGGTTAGGAATGTCCCAAGCAGCTTTTATTACCTTGTGAGGGCCATTTGAGATCTTACTCTCCTGTTCATATGTATATTTTTCCCTTTATAAATATCTTTTTCTATTTTAAAATTATGTGTGAGCTGTAAACATTAGACAGTATAGTAACATGTCAAATACAAAGTAAAAGGTTCTCATTTACTAGTCCTTCTCTCAGTATGTTTCTTAATACCCTTGAAATAGCATGAACTGTTGAGAGCTGTTCTTTGTGCATTTACAAAAGTACTGTATACACATGACAGCATGCTGTGTTCATTTAACCATATTGCCTCACATGTGCTGTTTCTGAGGCTGACCTTCTAAAATAAATTGCAGGTATCCGAACATGTCTGAGGAGCAGAGATGGTATGGAGGAAGAATATGCTGCCTCAGGCTGTTTTCTCTCTGCTTGCCTGGAGCCTTGTAGTAATGGGTCATGGCCTGTGTTTTCTTTTCACAGAATAAGTTTGCCCTGACCAGCTTAGAGAAGAGCAGTACCAAAGAGTCAGAGAAAAAAGACACCAAAGTGGAGGAGGAGATGGATGCCGAAGTCCTGGAGGTCTTTCAACCAACCTATGAGTGGCAGGCCCTTCGGCCAGGTACGAGGTCCAGCAACTGTCCCTTCAAAACACAGTCTGAATTCAGACTGTATACCTTTGTCCACAGGACTGCTTCGAAGGAATAACCATTCTCTGGCCTGCTGGAAAGGAACAATGTGGTTCATCATAATGGTAGCTGTTGCTGCTGCAAAGCTTGGGGACCTTTATTTTCTAGCAGAACAGAGATTGTGGGATCTGAGTGCCCTGGAAGGAAGGCAGATGGTGGGTGGCCGTGTTTTCTGAGCAAGTGATTGAAAACTTTCTTTCCTTGCACTTCTGAAGCACAGGAGAGGCAGTGACATGTGCCTTGCTCTGCAAATGCTATTTTGGGCTCTGCTGCTTGGCTCAATGCTGCTGAAATATTGTTCACGAGAGAGTCCTGAGCACTGGTGCAGGGCAAGGGTATTCTTTGTTAAAGAAACCTGTGCCCAAAAGAAAGGGGCTGACCTGGGCCGGGATTTTGAATGAAGAATCCTGAGAAGGAATAGCTTTCTAACCCTGGACCTAGGGCTTAAAATAATCTTGAAAATAGCTAGCAATTATGGAGCGTTTATCAGATTCAGGTACAGTGCTAGGTAATTCATGTGCATAATCTCATTCAGTCTTCACAACAATACCAGTTACTATTAACTTTGTGTTCTAGTGAAAGCACTGGTACTTGGAGTTTAGGTAACTTGCCCTGTGTCACTTCAGCTAACTTACTCTATGTCATTGACTGTGGAGCCTGGATCTGTTCTCCTCCCCCTTCTCCTTCCATTGCAGTTGTCCTTGGCTGATGACCACCATGACACTTGGGACTGTTTTCAGGAGAAGGCTGTTTGCATTCTGTACAGTGGGAAGGTGAATGGCAAGCCTGGGCAGCTGCCGCTGTGTAGTTTCACCAGCTCTTTGCTGACATTTGTCACCATGTCCTCACTGCCCCCAGTGCTGCTGTGCTGGAAGGGACAGTATTTGCTGTGCCAGCCAGCTTTCTGGTAGCAGTATTGCTCCTGTTGGGCTTGCATACAGATAGTTGCTGCCACAGTAGAGTTGTAAAACACCAAAGAAGCCAAGTGGGAACTAATTGCATTGGGCAGGGGAAGTTTAGGAGCAAATAATGGGTTTGGCAGATCCAACCTCTGGCTGCCCTCCCACCAGCTTCTCTGAAAACTGAGCTCCTGTGTTCTGTAAGGACCAAAACTAGAGGATCTCTCAGGGGTAGAGAGTAGAAGCAGTAACCCCTACTTCCTCCCTGTTCTGTGGCTGAGTCAGTAGCTCCCCTTTTGAGGCCTTGATCTGTACTGCAGACAGACTGAAGATGATGGTCTGACCCCGGGTCCCTGTCCAGCCCTCTTGGTAGTGGGGCTGTTGATCTTGGCTAAAGAGGCCATGTGTGTATGACTGAGGAGGAAGAGCCAGAGCCTATGCGACAGAGTTGGGCTGTGGGCTCTGAGACTCACCTTCTGCACAAGGCAAGTGTATTGCAGCTAAGCGCACAGCGGGGAAGCGCTGCTAGTTGCAGTCATATCTGCCCCACCCATCCATTCATCTACACCTTACTTCACAAGGTAGGACTGGCAAGGGAGCATAGGTGGTTCACTTGTCTGGCTTCAATGTCTGATACAGGGTGCTCTAGGTCCCAGTACAGGGTTGAGGAGTTCTGTGTGGATATTAGGAAATTGATCTCTTAGTGGTCTCTGTGGATATGTGTACTAGCTTCTAAAGTTTTAATACTGAATTTACTGCATTCTGAATGCTGCCTGGGAGCTTCGAAGATAGCTACCTAAAGGCTAAAATGAATATAGCCTGTCCTGGGAGCCTCTTGGAATGGGCAGGTAAATGGGAAGGCAGAATAATTTATTCAGTGGTTAAAAAGCACAGAATTTAGGCCCAGCTGGTCCTGGCTTCTGCTTTCTGCTTGGGGAATTCTTCTCTTCCTCTTTCCTTCTATCCTCTATCTATCTGTCTGTCTGTCTATCTATCTATCTATCTATCTATCTATCTATCTATCTATGTATCTATCTATCTTTCTTTCATTCATCTTTTTGAGGTAGGGACTCATGGTATAGTTCAGGCTGGCCTCATACTAGTTATGTAGCTCAGCCTAGGTCAGCTCTTGATCCCGCTGCCTCTACTCTTCAATTGGATGCCAAATGGTTCTACTCAGGGAACCTTGGGCAAATCACCGAATCCTTCTGCTCTCCGGTTTCCCCATTGTTGATGTGGTCTGCTGCACAAGTTGTTGTATGGATGAGATGGGAGAATGCAGAGCACTCTACCCAATTCCTGCCATGAAGGCATCGTGCAAAATGCAGCTGTACTGGTTTTAATGGTAAATTCTCCACTCAGCTGTGGAATTGGATGCCAGTATGGGTATAGGACTGTGATCTTACTGTTCCTGAGGCCTAGGAAAGGAAACTTAAGAGGTGAAAGAAAGACTTCTATAATCACAGTATGTTCTCCCTCTCTTCTTCAATAGCAGATTTGATGAAGGACCATAAGTAAGAGTGATCAGAAGGATTAGTAGAGTATTTCTTGCTTGAGAGTCAGAGCATGGCATGGGAAGATGGTGGATCTCCTTGGACGTTTTTAAAAAAAAAAAACTTAAAAGTTAAAACTTAAAAGTATCAGGAATTGAACTTAGGACCTTGTGCTTGCCAGGTAGCTCTGTGCTGCTAAGCTATCCTTGTTCTAGGCCAGTTTACATTGACAGTTGCTGACCCCATCAAGTTCCACCTGTTCAGTACTTTCTGTCTCCTCAGGTCTCATAAGGAAGGAGTGCAGCTTTGTTTTCCTTAGGCCTTGAAGAGAGGGATACTAGGACATGTGGGCTGTTTGGTTTTGGCTGGGCTCACTTGAGGCCAGATTTCAGACTGCCTGGTACAGCCTGACACACCATGGGAGCAGCCCGTGACTTTGTGGGCCTTCCCGCTGAGCCAAGTGGTTAGAGTCCCAGCCACACAGCCCTGGAGCAGCTCCAGCTTACTCTCCTAAAGTCTGTTTGCTTCTGTTATTACTGTCAGCATCCTCACTGGGAGTTGCTTGTTCCTGGAAGTGATTTTCCTGTCTCTCTTTCTTCTGGTTTATTTTGGGAGCAGCCTCACCTTACGGAGGCACAGCAAGCATTTGAGTGTGGCTTCAGCATCAGCTGTTCACAAGCAAGCAGAGGAAAGCTGTTTGCTGGCAGGTCCTGGTGGTTCTGGGCAGGAAACTCGGAAATCTGTTGGGGCGTAGGACCCTGCACACACCAGGATTTTGTGCCTGTGCACTTGTTATTACAGAATTCTGGTCACAGCCAGAATCAGCAGGGCTTCTGCTCCCAGAGCCTTTTCTGAGATCTTACTTTGTGCCAGACACTGTATTTGTAGCCAGAGATATAGATAATAGCTCACATTTACTGAGCATTGACTCTGCCAGGCTTCCTTTGAGGGCAGATGCTATAGCTTATCCTCATTTTTTACAGGCAAAACTGAGTCTCAGAAGAAATGATTTAGCCAAACAATCAATAAGTGGTAGAGTCAGAATTCAAACCCAGCTTTTTCTGGTAGTGAACCCCAGTTCCTAATCACTGTGCAATACTGTCTTCTGGGAAACAAAAAGGACATAACCTTACCCTCTATAAGCTATATAGACTCACGAGGGATACAGAAAAAAAAGATCACCAATATAGTTTTGGAGATCTCAGTGGAAGTGTCTGGTGCTCAGTGAGGGCATAAAAGATGGTGTGGCAAGGCCAGGGCCTTCATTCTTTAACCCTGTGATCTCAGTGGGGCAGTTAGTCAAATTTTATGATGCCAAAGCTTCACCCTCTCTGCAGGTTTCCTCTTGAGCTTTGTGGCCTTGATAAGGTTGTGTATAATCTCTGAAACTTAGTTTCTTTATCTGAAAGTAGGAATGAAAATATCTACTTCACAGAAATGGTGTTAAAATGAAATAAAATTTACATTGTAACTGTTTTTGCAGAGAGCCTGGCCCCCAGGACATATTTAATAATGGCTGGAGTCACCATTTTAAAATTATACCTTTGCTACCTCTTGTTTCCTTGGGAGCTTGAAGAAGTGGAGGAGAGGAAGCAGCCTGGGCAAAGGCCCCTTGTCCCATCCTTTTGCCAGAGCTGCCTGTTGGCCTCATGCAGGCTCAGGAAAGTGTAGCCAGGCACAAATCTGGGGCTCCTGATTGACCTGATCTGACATCAGGCGTGTATGAGAGTCTCTGAAACACTGGCAAAGCACAAAGAGGCCACTTAATGGGAGCACACAGGAAGCCTGTGCAGAACACGTTCATGGGGAGAGGGGTGGAGGAAAAAATTCCAAATCATCAACAACTGATGAGAGCAATCCAAGAATTATAGAGCACCAGCCATCTGGTCAGATCATTTCAGATCTGCATGAGCAATAAGAGGGAATTGAATTTTAAAAACCTCATTTATAGTAGACCAACTACTCTGGTTTCAAGTATTTAAGAGAAGAGCCTGATTTCCTGCTGGCCCTGGACATCTGTCTGAAGGAGCACCTGACTGGTCTATGTGACCGCAGGGCTGTCTTTCTGGAGCCTTTGTTCCTTTGCAACTTCGGAGAGGCTGTTCTTTTCAATCTCCTGATACCAACTGGCTGTCCAAAATATCAATTCATTTCTGATGCTGTGTACTAGGAATTAGTGTCATATTCCACAAGTTAAAGAACTACATCCCAATGACTGCCTCCATTTCAGATGCCAGTCACAAGTCCCAGGCCAGGCCACCTGTATTTCTTTCTTTCTTTCTTTCTTTTTTAAAGCCAGTCAAATTTAGCAGTGGGGGGGGGGGTGGTATACCAACTTTAGTGACACTAATGTTAATAAGTTCCAATAACCCACTGCCATCTGACCAGCCACCACCTGTATTTCTGACTCTCAGTTTATATAGTAATTGAGAATTCCTAAAACCCTCTCCTCAGGTTTCATAATCTGCTAGAATGTTTCATTTGCTAGAACTCAGAACAACAATTTATGTTCACCCATTTAGTACAAAGGATGAAACTCAG